GGGGCTTTTTGTAAACTATTGGGGTCTTTTTGCAAAATATTAAGGGCTTTTTGCAAACATTTTGGGGGTTTTTTGCAAACATTTAGGGGGCTTTTTGTAAACATTTTGGGGTTTTTTTGTAAACATTTGAGGGGCTTTTTGCAAACTTTTTGACCACTAAAATCCACTAGATGAGAACAAAAATTATGCCCGATGATCATGAAACAATCTAAATTCATGGTGTATCCATAAGATTAGTATAAAATTATAACTGACCTAAGTAAATTGATGACTGGGTAAATTGATGAACTCTCGATCCAACTTCCTCATCATCATCATTATCCTCAATCTTTCTGCATGTTAATGTTGTTGGGCCCAGAGTTCTACTTCTCTTTGGCGTTGGGCTATCGGGTGATTCCTGTTTAGCTCTCTTCTTCTTGTTCTTTTTATTATTCTTCGACCAGACGAATGGCGAGTTTTTTCGACAACAACGAGCTGGGTTTGGTGGCTTGGTTGGCGTCGGTGACGGTGCTTTCGTGGGGGTTTGAATTTCTTCTACGATTTGATCCAAACCTTCAACCTGATTGAAATGTTTTTAATTTTAGTGAAAATAGATGATAATAATAAGATGATGACGAAGATGAAGAGGAAGAAGAAGAAGAAGAGGGTCTATTTTAACTGATTGGAGAGAGGAGAGGGCGTCGGCCATGGCGATGTTGGTCATATTAGCTTAACCTCAAGCTGCACCTTTGGATCCTCCGAATAAACTCCCGCCACCATGTCGTCCTCTCGTCGCTGGCGGCCCTCATCGTCGTCGACGACGACCTTGTACCGATTTCGGCGGACCTTCGTCCTCTGGCTCGATCGCAAAGACGTCACTGATTGATCGGAGTAGTGGAAACCCTAGAAATTTGATTGCCGAAATCCTAGAGAGGTCTTAGAGTTGAATGGGTCTTTTTCTGGTTTTGGTTTTGGAAATTCGGACGGGTAAATGAGTTAATAGACACCGCCCATTTAGTCCATTTAGTGTAGTTTAAAGTGAACCCGCCCAATTAGGCCTATTTAGCTAAATGGGTAGGTTTTAGGCGGGCCAAGTGATGGGCGAGCCAGGTTGGTAAATGGGCATGGACAAAAATTTCATTCCCGACACCTAGATCAGTGACGAAGGTGAGAAGCTTCATGGGGGCTTGCTGCTATTTGCGCAAGTTCATTCAATATTTTTCGACTTATGCAGCACCTTTACATGGCCTTATGAAGATGAAGGTTCAATTCGAGTGGGCGAGGACGCATGAGCATGCTTTTTAGTTGCTGAAGAGGAAGATCTTAGAGGCACCGGTGTTGGTGTTGCCTAATTTGCAGAGGACCTTCGAGGTAGAAACCGACGCTTCTAGCTATGCTATGGGCGCTGTGTTGATACAGGATAGGAAGCCGGTGGAGTACCATTCTGAGATGTTCACGGGTGCTATTCAGAACTACCCCACCTACGACAAGGAGTTTTATGCACTTTATTAGGCGATCAAGCATTAGAGGGTGTATTTGTTAGGTAAAGAGGTAGTTGTGCACTCAGATCATAAGCCATTAGAGTTCCTACATGCCCAGACAAATCTGCAGCAGGCACGTCACATGAATTGGATGTCCTATTTGATGGCGTTCAACATCATCATTAGGTACAAGAAGGGGGCGACTAACAAGTTAGCCGATATGTTATCTCGACCGCCAGTGAGGGCTTTATTAGTGGCGACGCGTATTAAGCCCTTAGTTCCTTTGGAGTATGTGCAAATGTACACATCCAGTAAAGACTTCAGTAGTGTGTTTGAGCAGGTGAAGGTTGGTCGAAGGAAGGAGTACGAGCTTGGAGAGGATGATTTGTTATATTGTGGGACATCGCTTTGCATTCCGGAGGATGGTGATAGGTTGCAGTGGATTAGAGAGGCACATACATCGCGTGTGTAAGGTCATTTTGGGATCCAGAAGATGCTTCTCAATCTACGATGCCATGTCTTTTGGCCGAAGATGCTAGAGGATGTTACTAAGTACGTTGGAGGGTGTAAGCTATGTTGCATTTCGAAGCCTTCTAACACGAAGCGGGGATTGTACCTACCTTTACCAGTGCCTTCTAGACCCTGGGAGAGCATCTCTATGAATTTCTTTGGAGGGTTGCCAACGACCAAACGCAAGCATGACTATTTGTACGTTGTGGTGGACCGATTTAGCAAGATGATAATCTTGATTCCTTATAAGAAGACCGTGACGGGAGCGGGTGCAACGCAGTTGTTCTTTGAGCATGTGTGGAAGCACTTTGGGTTACCGAGTTCGATTATTTCGGATCGAGATAGCTGGTTTCTCAGGCATTTTTAGGATTCCTTATGTAGTTTGATGGACACTAGATTGAAGAAGAGCATAGCTTTTTATCTACAAACAGACGGACAAACAGAGGTAATCAACCGGACTATGGTGCACATGTTGAGGGGGTATAATTCCAAGTATCCCAAGACTTGAGATGAGAGCTTACCATATCTTTAGTTTGTATTCAATCGGGCTATTCATGGATTTTCGAGAAAATCCCCGTTTGAGATGTGCTATGGATTCTTACCACCAAGTCTGTTCGATCTCGTGTTTTCTAGTGAAGCTACGACCGACGGTAAGGAAGGGAATGAAAGATAACGGGCTCAACGATTTTTGGAGAATATTGCACATATTCATACTATGGTTGAAGCTCAATTGAAGAAGTCACAAGCTAAGTATAAAGCAAAGCATGATCAACATCGAATTCCTTGTAACTTTGACAAAGGTGACATGATGTGGCTAAAGTTGAGTAAGGAACAGCTAAAGGGAGAAGGGAAGAAGTTGAAGCATATACGATATGGTCCATTTCAGATCCCTGATCAGATCAGTGACAACACCTTAAAGCTAGATTTTTCACCTTACTTAGGCATATATTCGGTGATTAATGCCGAATACTTGAAGTTGTTTGAGCCTCCATTATTGGACGATGAGAGTGACGACAAAGTGATCTTATCGCATGTTGAAGACTTATGGTTTGATAGAGAAGAACCGCTGAAAGAGGATTGTATTTTGGAGCGGAAGGTGACTACGACGAGAGGCGGGACGAATGAGTCGTTTCTGATCGGACGTCAAGGCAAGGTTCCTAGCAAAGCCAGGTGGTTTAATAGTGAAGGAGGGACTCACGAGTTCCCTTAGCTAAAGTTTTAACTTGAACGGGACTTCAAGTTCCTAGTGGGGGGAACCATGATACGGGTATCTTCTCTCTACTTCGGGATCTTAGCAATCTTCATAGAAGCTTAAGGATAGATGATTCTCATGGTAGCTTGAGCATAGAGATATGGGTGGAGCATTGGTGGTGGCAAAAGAAGTCAAAAACAGTAAAACAAGGAAAATCAAGGAACTGGAGTTCAGGCGCTGGCCGGTCGACCGCATGCTCAGCACCAGTCAACCGGATTCATGCACACTACAAGGTGAGGATTTCTGCGCTCTGGCCGGTCGACCGCGACACACTTAGTGGTCGACCGGATGTGGTTACGACGACAAGGTTAAAAACCCTTTCTCTGGCCGGTCGACCGAACCAAGCAGGCCGGTCGACCGGATTAGGTTTCCTGAGTTGTCTGGGACTCTTTTTGACGTGTTTTCCTGCTTTGTTTGGACTTGTTTATTTATAAGATTGTCATCCACGTTGTTAGGGATATAAATAGGATTGTTTTAGAGTTACTAAGCAATCAGATTGTATTCAAAGAGAATAGAGAGATTGTTCTTTATTCTAGTGAGATTGTTAGAGAGAGATTTGTAATCTTTTATTACTCATAATCTAGAGAAGATAATTTCCTTCGCCAAATGAATTGTTCTTGTGTTTTCTATTGTTTTCTTCTCAACCTACATTTGATAATTCCGCGATCAAAGGTGCTCGCACGACGACTCGTACCAATGATTTTCCTGTTCTTCTCATCCCAAAGACGATACCCGAACTCATCAATACCGTATCCAATGAATGTACATTTCTTTGACTTAGATTCTATCTTGTCATTTGATTCCTCCTTCTTCTTTCCCTTAGCCTTGTTCATCAACGGACGGTAAAGATCCTTCTGGTATAGATAGTCCTCCATCTACGACTTTCAGTAGGCGAAGTCTGATCCGTCAATCTTCTTAATCTTTGATTTGCTTTCCTCTGCCATGGCTCTCGCACAAATCTTCTGAATAAATCTCTAATACCAGTTGTTGGGGTTGAACACACAACCCGTGCCCTTCCAGATCTTGTGTCGAAAGTAAGCAAGCAAGAAATCACAGCAAATAAAAGAAAAAACTTGCAGGAAAGAACAACTAAAACAGGAGAATACCAGATTTAATGAGGTTCAGCAAACGTGCCTACGTCCTCGGGAGCCATACCAAAAAATCTTTGATTAATTGAAGAAGATTACAATGCTCGCAAATAGGCTTTTCTCTCTCTGAGATTTCTATCTCAAAGTCCTCTCAAAAACCCTCTTTTTCGTGTGTCATCAAACCCTAAAACGTTTAAGGTATAATATCCCAGCCCAAAACAGATTCCCAAACAGACTGGGAATCTAGAAAATCTGACGTCGGTCGATCGATGCAATGACGTCGGTTGACCGTCCAGAACACAGATTTTTTTATAGTCTGATCATGCACGTTTCAGTCGACCGGTGCCCTAGCGTCGGTCGACCGGTTGACCACTCTCGGTCGACCGTCAGCAAGCTTCGGTCGACCGGCCAGAGCGTGCAGGCGTTTCGGTCGACCGGTCCAAGCCTGTCGGTCGACCGGAGCTGGATTTTTCAGCTTTATTGTTGATTTCATTTTAGGTTTGGGTCTTCACACTTCCAAAACCAACAGAGGAAGATAGAAAGGTAGGAATATGAAAGATAATAGCTAGCTAACTTTCAATCAGGCAACATTCAAAAATTTTCTAACTTAGAAAAGGGGGAAAAGAAGACTAGTCAAACTTGCAAGTTTGAACCTTCTTGAATTAAATTTACTTTGAATAATTTTCATACCTGGAGCAATATAACCTATAGTGCCAGGTGTGCTTGCCGATGCTATGGATCTGCCATTACCAAGCAACAATTTAGCAATGCCAAAGTCACTGACATGGGCTACCATTTCTTCATCCAACAAGATGTTACTTGGCTTGAGATCACAATGAAGTATCACTTGAGGATGGCGATGGTGGAGATACTCGAGAGCTGAAGACACATCCACCATTATATTCAATCTTTGCAGCAGATCTAAGCAGCAGTTTCCGGAGTAGAGCCATTGTTCAAGGCTTCCATTTGGCATGAACTGGATGATTAGAGCTTTAAAGTCTAAACTGGAACATACGCTAATGATTTTTATCAAATTTCTATGTCGTGCACTACTTAAAGTTGCACATTCTGCATCAAAACTTTTTGATGCCCCTTCAACTTCCATGTTTAAAACTTTCACTGCAACAACCAAACCATCATCAAGGCATCCTCTGAACACTGAACCAAAGCTTCCTCTTCCCAATAAGTTTGCTTCATTAAACTTATTGGTTGCACGAGCTAGATCATGGTAGGAAATCATTCTATGCTCACCAGGAGGTTGAAAATCTGCACTAGCCAAGTTCCTTTGCTTTCTCCTTCTGTGAATTGTATATATGAGAAACAAGCAACTTAAGACAACCAATAGGGCAATGCTAGGGAGGATATATTGCAGTAGATGCAGTTTATTCCTTGAATGAGAATGAACAATTCTTGTAGAGCAAGGTGGAAAGTCGAGCTGAGGTGCACCACATAGTGCTTTGTTCCCCTCCAAAGACGGTATTGTGACATTTGAAAACACTCTACCTTGTGGAATTTGTCCTGCAAGCTTGTTAAATGAGAGATCAAGAACATCTAGGTAACGCAAGTTTGCTAAGGATTTGGGTATGTCTCCCGATAGCAAATTAGTCGACAAGTTCAAATACTGGATGCTGACCAATCCACCAAATGATTGCGGAATCTGACCTTCAAAAGAGTTTTTGGAAAGATCAAGATATATAATCATCTGCAGCTCCCCTAGAGAACTGGTGATGTTACCTGAAAACCTGTTTTCAGATAAATCCAACTTGTTCAAGGTGTTCAAGTTGCCGATCTCTGGAGGAATTGAACCATTTAAAGCATTTTGGGATAGGGAAAAATCAATGAGGCTTCTTAACCTCCACAAGTTCTGAGGAATCTTTGATGATAATGCATTGTTGTACAGTGATAAGAATTGTAGACCGGTTAAATTGCCCAGTGAATCCGGTATAGCTCCTGATAGTTTGTTCCCACCCAAATCTAGAGCACTCAGGCTTGTCAACATGCCAAGCGCAATTGGGATGGACATGCTGATTTTGTTATTGGCCAGAGACAACCTTTGAAGCCTTTGAAGGGTAGCAAGTGATGGTGGTATTGCTCCTTCAAACTCATTCCCTCCAAGATCTAGCGCAAGAAGACCACTCAAATTGCCTAAAGCTGGAGAGATGTTTCCTTTGATGTGGTTCGCCCCTGCTATAAAATACCTAAGACTCATCGAGAGATTCCCAACAGAGTCGGCCAGAAAGCCGCCCAACTCATTCTGTTGAATGGAAAGTTTCTGCAGGTTGTTGCAGTTGGAAAGAGAGGTGATGAAGTCCATGCTACCACTAAGTTGGTTGAATTCAATGTTAAAAACATTAAGTAGCGGCATGGACTGTCCAAGCATAGGAGGCACCGATCCAGTGAGACGGTTGTCGCCCAATTCAAAATGGTTCATCACGGATAAGTTAAAGAGAGACACAGGTATCGAACCTATCAGTTTGTTTCCACCTAATAGAAGCTCTTGCAGGCCTGATAGATTTCCCAGCTGCTTTGGGATTTCCCCTTCCAAGTTGTTTGCAGGAATATCCAGTCTCTTGAGGCTTGTGAGACTGCCAAGTGAAGGTGGGATCTTTCCGGTGAGGTTGTTATCGGTGAGGTCTAGCAAACTGAGCTCTTGCAAGCAGCTGAGGTCAGCCGGCACAGGTCCAGTGAGCCTGTTGTACGACAAAGCAAGAGCTTGGAGGTTCAAGAAATGAGAGAAGCTAGATGGGATCTGACCAGTTAACTGATTATCATCTACTGCGATAACTTGGAGGGGAGGCGGAATGCTGCTAGCGATGCTGTGATTATTCATCTCGGGGAGAGAGCCCGAGAGTTTGTTAGTTGTTATGTAGAGTCCGATGAGAGAAGTCATATTGAAAAGGTTGTGAGGAAGCGCGCCCGAAAGATAGTTACTTTGAAGGACAATAGTTTGGAGTCTGGGGAGGTGGCCGAGGCTGTCGGGGATGGGGCCGCTGAGTTTGGCGTTGGCAAGAACGAGAAGAGATAGGAAGGAGAGGTTACCGACGAAAGGGGAAATTGTTCCTTGGAGGGTGATGTTGTAAAAGTAAAGGACTGTAACTCTCTGGTGCCTTTGGCTGCAGGTGACTCCAACCCAATTGCAGAAGGAGGTGTTAGTAGTCCAGTTTGAAGAGAGAACAGCAGAGCTTCGATGTCCGTGAAGTTATTGTGCGGGCTTGATTTTGCTACGAGGGGACAAGAAGAAGAAAGAGCCAAAAGAAACACAGTGAAGAGAAATGGAGGAAGATCCATGGAAGATTAGTGCCGGGTGCACCACATTATACAACTTTAAATAACCCAAGAATATGATGCGTGCATCAGCAAGTCCGTACAAAAATTAGACGTTTACGTTCATTGAACATAAAATGAACATATTGGCCTAGTCACTAGTGCCAGTCAATACAAGATCCCAAGTGGCTTAGATAATAGCCTACTGGCAG